AAAAGATCACCACCGTTGCATAGTTCCATTACGAGATGAACAGCCTGGATGAGAGGGAGTTAAGTGTAGAGAATCAGGCCGGGGAAGGAGTGATCAGCACAATACTTTCAGTGCTAATCCGGGCATCTGTGAAGAAAAATATGGTGCTTGCACATAAGATGTGGAAGTCCAGGAAGCTTAACACGAAAGAAACATTGCAGGAGAAGCAATTGCGCGTACCCTGTGATCCTCGAACACTTCATGTACTTGCACGACTTCGCAATGTGCCTTTAAAAGGCCCATGAGCAGAACCTCTGTGCGTAAATCAGTGACTTCTCTTGGTGTCTGCAGGAACAATGACACAGAAAAAAGGGAAGCATGGTTTGTCAAAATGAGAAAGCAAGTGATTTGTATTACAAACTTCAATCCTCACTTGTAGTGCATATAAGTGTATATGCTTCTGTACCTTGATATTGAACTTGTGAATAGTCTTGCAAGCGAACACTATGCCAGTGCGCCATTCCAGGCACTTCCTGATTTCGCAGCTACCTCCCTCGCCGATCTTCTCCTTGCTGATGTGGAACTTATCCGTCACGCAGCTGTATCGGATGCCCAAAATCCTCTCTCGCAGTTGTAGCTGACGTGGCGAACACGGCACCGAATCCACTTTCTGGCCGAAGCTGCGTCCAGATGTGCTTTGGTTGATCGGCTGACGTGGGGAAGGAGCTGGAACTGTGGGGGCGCTGTTCGTGGCAAGGGTAAAGGTCCCTCCTGCCCAGGTTTCCTTGCTGGAACTCGCGTGCACGAGGACCTTCATATTTCGCATGGACGAGGGAGAGGGAGCTCCCATGTGGCGAACTACTTCGCGAGAGTTTGTCGTTTGTCCTTCGTCAGCAATTGATGAAATCCCGCTTCGCCATTCCACATCACCCGCGAGTCTCTTATTTTCTGTGCTTCCCGTGAAACCTTTTGTCAAGGTTAGATCACACACCCTGCAGTCCCCACCAACGGACTTAGCGTTTCGATGAGAGACGCGCACCGCTCCTCTCGCTGCTCCACCGTCTAGCACGGTAGAATGTTGGTAGCGATGCTTAGGCTGGCTCCTGCTATTCTCGAGAGTAAGCGAGGCGCTGCTGGATTTCAGTTCTTCGTGAGGGCGATCATGCTCTCCGCGAGGCGACTTGAAACCGCTTCGCGGCGGACTTCGCGGACCTCGCACAAGTTCGAAACTCTTCCTCTGGACGAGCACGCGGTGCGCATACCTCCGAGGCGTTGGCAGCGGAACAGGAGGACAGGAACTTTCGCAGCACGCGCCGTGGCTTGAAGCAGTAGCATCACTGCTAGCGGTGGCAGCAGTTGTCAGTTTGTTACAAGTACCATTGTTAGCAGTAGTGGTGTAGCAGTAGCATCACTGCTAGCGGTGGCAGCAGTTGTCAGTTTGTTACAAGTACCATTGTTAGCAGTAGTGGTGTTGCTGCTAATGTCCTGATACATTCTGGAGCAATCCATCTCGGGCAAATCAAGGTTTGACGACGAGCGGAAAGGTCGTCCATGCAGCCATCGCGCCCAAATGGCGGCGCCGTGTTTAGGGTGATTAGCAACGGCGCGTGACGGCGGGATTGAAGGAGCGACTACGTCGCCTCTGGAGGCGCCGGTTTTCTTGGCGTTTGGGGCAGCGCCAGCCATTTCAGGCTCTGAATCGCAGTTGTTGCGGGGCGTGATGTCCTGGCTGCCTGGGGGCGACTCGACGCGCATCGGCGGCGGCACGGCGGAGGAGCCTAGAGAAGCAGGATCATAAATGCCACTGGCACTACCCAACTGACGGCAACTGTCGCCGCGGTAATGAACCGGCATGCTGTCAAGCCGCGCAGGAACGGACGGCGGTCTGACGAACTGACGCGGTCGCTGCGACTGCCATTGGCCTTTCCATGATAGCCCTGGCGACTTCGGCGGTAGAGCGCTTGGACTAGTACCGCTAGGGGTAGTACCCCCGCTAGTAGTACAAGCAGCAGCACTTGCTGCCTCTGCAGCGGCATTGGTAGCGACATTAGTAGTGGCAGCGGCGGCGGGGATGATCTCGAGAACGGCATGGCCGCCGCGCGCCTCGATCTCCTGTTGGAGACGATTGAGTTGCAGAAGCAGCTGAGGGTGATGCCGCGAGTTGAGCTTCGTGCTCGGCTCAGCCTGCGTCCTGCCTGGCTGGCTGCTCGTGGGAAGTTCGCCGTCCGCCGCCGCCGCCGCCGCGGTCGCCTGAGGCATGGCTTCGGGATATTCAGAGGCGCCGGGATTAACGGCGAAATTGGCTTGGGCGAACTCCCTGACGGAGGGAGGCGATTTGAGCTTTTGATAGTCCGTCATCTGCGTCAAGGGGGCAACGGCTGAAAGCATTTTCGAAGTCAACGTATGTTTATGGAGTGCTTCAGAAGATATTTAGAAATAAGGAGTTGGTGCTCACATTGAAACACCTCACGTCATGATGACAGGCGACGAACAAACTGCAGTCTGATTGGCAGCTTCAAGCTGTTCGTCGCTTGAATCAGCTCTCATGATTCGATACACCCTATTATTCGTTTGATGCACTCGCGATTATGCCACATGCTCGGTACGTTCACATAGAAGGTTGGGAGCGATGCGTTTATGTCACATAGAATCTAATCACACAGTTCAGCATTGAATTGCTAAATGTTGAAGAAAATTGGTGGAATAACGCTACAGTTTCACACATTCGCGCTAAAGACGAGGCCAGATGATGTAGGTATGATTAGGTGAGGCCGGCCTACAGTTGCAAAAACGTATTTACAGCCACATTTTGGGAGCAAGGGACGGCAATACGCAGGGAAATGTGACTCTTAGACGTTAAAAGCACCTGGCAAAAACGACAAGCACCTCCGACCGAAACGCGCTTGGTGAGATAAACGAATAACTGGTGTACACCCCTCTCATTCCCTACCTAGCGCTTGCGGGCGGCGCTCAAAATGGAAACCCATTCTATCCGAACCGATCCCTCCCCACAGGCCCGCCACTCCTCTCGACACAGTTGACTGGTAAAATGGCTAGATGGGCTGAAAAACACACAAAAAAAATCACTAAGAGTATCCGTAATCATGGAAGGTTTCGACGGGGGGGCTGGTGATTCTCAAAGCTGCAGGACGCAACGTAGAGGCTTGAAAGCCAAATCGTTCAGGCGAAAAGAAGTTCCCCGCACATGTTTTAGGGCATGGCACCACTTTAATTCCAGTGAAAGGTGGGCGGTGGTCATGGGCCACAGGCTCTGAAACAAAACTCTGTACACGAAAAGGGGCACATCAGCCAATGTTACCTGGGCCCCCAAAGTAGGACAAGGGCCATAGGTTGACGGGCTATACCTGGTCCGCGGTATTTTAACCGCCGGTATCGTAACCAAGTTTGTCGGCACGCTGGGCGTTTCTTGTTGGGTGGCCAGCCAGAAATCGTTGTTCACACTTGACCGAACCAAGTTGTAGAGTTGCCAAGCCTTTTTTTGATATTTCAGCTGGCGCCGTCCACGTGGCAAGCGAATTTCCCCATCCGAATTTTCCAAAAAGAATCGTCACCGTCGATGGTTTTACTTTCCCGACTCTCGAACATTCCAGATGGCGGAAAGAGCCGAATTGCTCCTTTTTATTAGTGCTGTCAAAACTTTCTTGCACCCTTATCTTCACCACGGCCAGATAATCCAAAACCCTGCTACCCATTTTCGCGCGGTTAAAATACCGCGGACCAGGTGGTATTGACCAGAGGAGAACCCCCCCCCCCCCCCCCCCACCCCACCCCACCTCGCAAAGGCCTGGTAACATAAAGGAATCCCCCAACCATCATTGCGGAATTCTCTGCCATATGGATCCCTGCACCTCGTCATGTCACCCGCCCAGCAACGGGTGCGGGAAGGAAGGAAGGACAAAAGTAGGGTTACATATTCAGCACGACTAGGGCGTATCCAGGTTCGGTTCATGAGCACTGTTCCGGGCATGCGCGAATTGCGGATGCCCAAAACAACACAAAACACGAATGGGTTCTCGGAACTCATGCGACCTCCAAATTGGCGCGAGGCTTTTCGCGCCAAAATTACGCCCCAAACAACAGTCACATCCAGGGCTTTTTTTTGGATTTTAAGAGTTGTTTTTTTGGGAACTCTGAAATTCAGGCTTCATTATGAGCGTTACTCTGATTTGTCAGAGAACTTCTGAACAGAAATCTCTGGATAGTCAGTGTACCTATTTTTCCAACTCTGAGTGTCCTTTCAAGTATTGAACCCAAGCCTTCTGCGCCACTACACAAATATTTACCGTTGTGCTACGCGCTCACCAACCATGTTTGAGATGCAAAAATATTATACCAAATCTAATCAGCCTAGCCATTTTCCACCAAATCAGTAAGGGGCTCGGTCGAAATGCCTATACCCTGTACAGAGAAAAATACATTCGTCAGAAATTTACACTGGTCTATCAGAGTAGCTAAAATAAAAACCCTGGCAAATAAGAGAAAACTTATCTTCCAAAAACATTACCTTAAACGTCAGAGTGACCCCCCAAAAACCACTCTGATTTTCAGAGAAACAGAGTAATTTACTCTGATAAAAAAACCCCTGGTCGCATCCAATGGAGGGATGCCAGAAGAGTTCGAAATATCATTTGCTACACCCACGCAAAACCATGCGACACCCATGGAAAAACACAATCGTCAAAAATGTCAGCGTGAATCCCGAAATGTTGGGAGCGCGACGCGGGAAATTTTAGATGTCGACTCAAAAGTCAACACGACATATGTCAGCACAAGCCACTGCACACTGACATACCCTACAAGTTGACTTTTGAGTCGACTCAAAAGTCAACACGACATATGTCAGCACAAGCCACTGCACACTGACATACCCTACAAGGAGATGAGATGCACTCGCTGCGTTGGTGCACCCCACCAAGACCACCACCAACACCAGCCATCTCCCCCTTCCAATTCTCAGGCACTTGCAAGCAGCACATCACAGACACTCACTGCGTGTGTTCCTATACCCCACCACGGCCACCACAGGCAGCAATCTCCCCTTCCTGTTACAAAAAGAGACACCCCAGCGCCGCATAAAAAAAACCACAATTAACACTCACTGCATTGGTATACCCCACCACGGCCACCACAGGCAGCCCTCTACCCTTCCCCCCGCCCTCCCAGGAGGCCCGTCTGCGGGCCAATCGGTGCAGGCCACGTGTCCTCCTCACTTGCGCTATCTGCTGCTTCAGCTTGTGCTGCTTCTCCGCTATTCTGGCATGGGAGGCCGAAGGGAGGGGGGGATGTGGGATGCGAGATGTCTCTGCAGCTGCAGCTGTCTGTAATCTTCTATCTGTGGCCACGTGTCCTCGGCACTTGCGCTATCTGTTGCCTTGCCTCAGCTTGTGCTGCTTAACTGATATTTCGTAGTGAGAGGTAGAGAGGAAAAGGGGGGGGGGGGGGGGGGGGGGGGGGGGAGGGGGAGTGACGATCAGGTGTGAGCCATTTCGAACAACCATTCCATACGAGCAAATTTTGAGAATTCTCGACAATTCTCATGATTTTAATAAATTCGCTCAAAAGGGACTGATAATCATGTGTGAGTCATTCCTCAAGCTTCTCCGACCACCTCACGTGGGATTATCATTCCATACCCAACTTGCTTTCACTCTCACCGTCGTCGCTGCAGCTGCAGCTCGCTCTCCCCTGCTCCGGCCAAAAAGCCCCGCCCGCCTGCCGCCCTCCCTCGCGCACTCACCACCTGCTGCTCCCCTCCCGAACCAAACCCCAGCCTGCCACCCACCGAGCCTCGCTGCCTAACCAGCCGGCTGCGCTGGTATTCCAGACCTGCCATTTCCACCTGAAGTCGAAGCAAGCGAGGGGGTGGAGAGGGGTTGGGCAGTCAGGAGAAGGAGGGGTGCAATGCAGTCCAGTGCGGTGCGGTGTGAGGGGGAGAGGTGGGCTAGGGATGGGGTGGGGAAGAGGAAGAGATATAACCACTTATGACCCAACCCAACCCAGCCCAACCCAACCCAACCCAACCCAACCCAACCCAACCCAACCCAACCCAACCTAACCCAATCCAGCCCACCTGCCGCTTGGCCTGGCGTGTGTTGGTCCAAGCACGAAAGATTCAAGCCAACAAGCAACTCTTTCGTGCTCAGGTCTTGGCTCAAAGCGACCCACCTGCAGATGAAACACTGCCCAGCTCAAGCCAACCCGACCCAACCCAACCCAACCAAACCCACCTGCAGCTTGGCCTCTCGTGTGTTGGCCCGAGCACCAAATATCTCGATAATCAGCCCCACCCGGTCCACCACTGGCACACCCCACGCCGCCTTTGGTGGGGGCAGGTGGATGGAGGGCAGGGGGGAAGGGGGGAAGGGAAAGAAGCCGGGAGGAGTTGAGGGGAAGGGTCGCCTTTTGGCACGAGCATCGAAGATCTCATGATCAGCCCCACTCGGTTTACCACAGGCAGACCCCATGCCGCCTTGGGTGGGGGCAGGTGGGAAGGAGATGGGGCGAACGTGGGGAAAGGAAGAGGGAAGAAACGGGGTGTAAGGGAGGGGAATGGTCAGCGGTTGAGCCGAGCACCAAAGATCTCAATGATCAAACCCACCCGACCCACCACGGGCAGACCCCATGCCGCCTTGAGTGCAGATAGAGGAAGGGGGGAGGGGAGCAAACGGGGAGGGAGAAAGGGCGAAAGGAGGGAAGCGAAGAGGGGGGAAATGGGGAGGAAGGGATGGGAAGGATTCGCTTTTGGCACAAACACCTAAGGCAGAGTGCGGCGCTCACTAAGGCTAATTTTGAGACGTTTCAAAGGCAGAGTGTGGCTGCCTCTCTCCCTCCCACTGCACCCTCTACCTGCCTACCCCTCTCGCAACCAACCCCCCCTCCCCGCTCTACACCAGCACACACATCCTCCTCCCCCCTCTCACCTCGAGGGTGCGCTGCTGCACGCCTGAGAGAGCAGCATTCACAAATACCGCCTCTCCCACTGCACCCTCTGCCCGCCCCTCCAACCCCAACCTCTCCCAACCCCACACCACCACACACAACCCACCCCCCCCGCTCCCTCTCGCTCACCTAGAGGTTGCGCTGCTGCACGCCTGAGAGAGCAGCATTCATGAATACGGCCTCCACTGGTACACCCTGGTTGGTAGAGTGGACAGTGAGAAAATACATCGGTATTAAACACAAATACATTCAGGGTGCTTCAAAAAAAAAAAACAAAACCATACCTAATACGGCTGACGTTGAAAGGAAGTAGAGAGTTCAGCAGGTACGTACATGCTCGTACATTGCTGCGCATGTGCATGCTTCACACTCCCTCCCTCATAACGTCCCACTCACCCTATTTACGCACTCTCTCTCAACAAGTGCAAGTGTGGATGAACGAGAGAGGGAGCGTGACTGTCCATACACACATGTGCAAGTGAGTGAGCCTGTCCACATTCACTGCATCTCAGCTGACGTGAAGTGCACATCGTAGCATACCATTGCATACCATGCTGTGTGAAGCATGCACATGCGCAGCAATGCTCTCGATGGTGCCACTGCCGAAGAACGACCCTGAAGGAGAGCATCAGCAAGGGGGGAGGGAGGAGGTGAGAAGAGTGGGAGGCATTTTGAAAAGAAAAGGAAACGAAAGAAAGAAAGAAAAAAATAAGTGGCTAAAAAAATCCAGGCTCACAGCATGCCAAATGGAATGCAAACGAGGAGCCATGCAATGCAAGCACGGACCAGCCGTGCAACCTTGGAGTGTTTTTTTTTTTTCTTTTCTTTTCTTTTATTTTCTTTTTCTTTTTCTTTTTCTTTGGCGTGATACACTGTGATTCGTTTTGAGATGACTGACAAGACAATTCACTTTGTTGTGTACCTCTCTGCAAAATCGCAAGATTTCAAAATTCGAGGTCACGAAACATGCGATTCTTGAGGCGCCTCAAAATTTGAGGTCACGAAACATGCGATTCTTTCTCAAGTCAGGCGGATTCCCCACGGATCCCCCATACCTGCGCGTATCCCCCGCCCTCTGCTGTGCACCACTACCCACAGATGGCCCAAACCCAAACCCAAACCCCAATCTCTCCAAGCCATGCCCCCCCAACCACATCCCCCATACCTGCGCGTATCCCCCGCCCTCTGCTGTGCACCACCACCCAAGGGTGACCCCCTCCTGGGGGCGGAAACCCAAACCCCTCCACGCCATCCCCACTCCGCCCTCTTCCCTCCACCCCATTCCCACGCATCCCCCTCTCCTCACTCCGCCTTCTCCACTCAGCCTCAGCCTCTTCCCCTTGCCGCCACTGCTCCCCTTCTCCCTGCCACTGCGCTCCTTCCCCCTGCCACTCTCTCGCTCCCCCCCGCCGCTGCTGTGAGTCCTGGCCCCACCACACTGCATCCGCCGCCTCCCCTCCCCCTGCGCCCCCCCACGAGCGCTGCTCCATCTCCCATTGGCTGTCCGTGCCTGTGAGCGAGTCCACCAATCGCAGCGCCTCCCCCAGCTTGGCGCGCAGCAGCCAGCGCGGATGGGTGCTGATGACGCTAACGGTGTCTGCGGTGCTAAAGGGTGCAATCAGGTTTTGTGTTGTACGGATGATCAGTTGTGTCACACTTTCCTTTCCTTGATCAACTGAAATCAATTCTTCCCCTCCATCCACTTCCCTTTCGCTTTGCACACACACCTTCCACATGTGTCAGTGGTCAGAGTGTAGGACAGCTTAAGAATTATCAATAAAATATAATATGTGATTCTCTTCATTCAGTTCTATGTCTTCCCTCCTATCCCATGCAGCCAAAAAGGGTAACCTGGATGAACTAGCAACTTTCCAATGTTGCCTTTTCGCTTGTCAATGGTCACCGTTATCCAGCTTGCAGGAACTGCATCATTATTACAAAGTCTGGACACCAAGCTGCGTCCTTATTCTGGCACAGCTGCATCTTCCCACCTGCACATTTCCAGCTGCACTGCTTATTCTGAAGCCCATAAAATGACATCTGACCAGGAGGGCAACCTCCAACACAACGAGCCTCCAATCAAACACAGGCAGCTAATGCCACCATACCACCTTTCCCCATCCGCCCTTACCGTACCATGGGCCTGGCAGGCAGTAGTGCAGGCAGTCCACCTTATCCTTGGCCACCACCCCTCTATGCCCATCCGGTCTTAAAGCCATCATCGGATCCACATCCATGAACAGCCCTCCTGCATCCTCCACTATTTCTCTCACCATCTCGTTCTGCTGCTTGAATTCTCCCCATCTGAACGGTATTGCTGCGCCGTCCTGCCGCTCTGTGATTGGCCGGGTGTGGTTCAGGCAGTTGAGGTGGCCGGGGGGTGTTGTACGGTAGATAAGGAGTTTGTCGGGGTGATTATGGCGGAGGAATCGGAAGATTCTTCTGACTGCTTTCACCACCTTCACTGCTGGCTTGTAGTGGGCGCCCCGGTTCATTATAAGCACATGGGAGTTTCTGATACCCTGGACTTGCTGCCATGGGACGTGTAGCCATGCTGCCCGTTCTAGCTTCTCCTCCTGTACACGCATCAGCCGAGTTGTAGCCACGTAGTGTATCTCCAGTTTCGGGCACCCCTCAATGCGGTAACCAGCGCATGTAACCGTTACTGTGTCGTCAATCCACTCCAGGCATTTCCGCTTCACTATCGTCCCCACAGCCGGCTTCGGTATATGCTTAATGATGTTGTTCATAAACGAATAGTGGTGTTCCCGCGTCAGCGAATCCCCGATAAAAGCAATCCGCAGCCCATCCTTCCTCCGCGCGGCCAGCTCGCAAAGCGCGCGCCCGTCGAACCTCGAAAACATCTCCCCCTGCACGCCCTCCCTTCCCACCACCGCCTGCCTCCCCCCGACAACTCCAGCACACTTCTCCCGAGGCACCACCCACTCGTATTTCAAACTCTCTCGAACCTTCCATGCGGCAGCAGCAGCAGCGGGATCCCATCCCGAGTTGGCGATTTTATCCGCATAAATTGTTGGTGGGGCACTGGGATCGTCCCGAGTTGAGTGTGGGAGGGCTACAGGCGCGGCCTGGGGGGTTATGGGTGTGCTACCCACCATACAAACATGCCCTTTTAACCCAGTCGGTAGCAGGCTGGGCCAACAAGTGGTATCAGAGCGAAAAGTCTCCGGTTCGAATCCCAGTGTGCGCCAAGCGAGCGCCAGTGCCCAAACGAGCCCCAAGTGAGGGGGAGACGACCCCAGTGAGGGGGAGATTGTTGGTGGGGCACTGGGATCGTCCCGAGTTAAGTGTGGGAGGGCTACAGGCGCGGCCTGGGGGGTTATGGGTGTGCTACCCACCATGCAAACCTTTTAACCCAGTCGGTAGCAGGCTGGGCCAACATAAATTCCTGCCACTCTGCCCTGCTTCATGTGCCGGTTGTCGCAGCTCTGCACCTGTTTCTCCTCCCACGGTAGAACCCTCGGCGTCGCGTTGTACCGCCACTCGCCGCGCTCCGCCATCAGCTCATCCACTGCTTGAACGCCGCCGCCTCGCCTGTTCCGGGCCTGAGCCTCGAGCCTGAGATTCTGCTTCGGAAGTCGCCGAGGCTGGCCGGCTCGTCCGGTGGGAAGGAGACGGGTGGTAACCCGGTGAACGCGTGGAGTGTAGGGTTGTTACGGATCATCGCGGTGACTGTACCGTACACCTCGTCCACGTGGCAGTGCTCCTGAGAATGCCAGTTCACCTTACTCGGATCGCAGGCTGAGAGAAAGTGATGGATCCCGAGGCGGGAAGCGAGGTGGAAGTGCCACGTGGCAGCCCGCTGTTGGCCGACGACAGGGATGGAAGCGGCGGCCATGGCTACTGTGCGAGGGAGGATTTCGATGAGCGTGGAGTTGAAGGGCATAAAAATAAGATTCGAAAGCGCGGGCGACGTGGGACCGACGAACAGAATCGCGCGGGAAAATAGCTCCTTCGCTTGCAGTAGCGGCACGTGCTCGTCGTATACCACCACTCGCGCCTCGCCAAAGAGCTCCCGCATCATTACAATCACACGGTTCATCGCGTCAGCCGCTTCCTTATTGTCACCTTCCGCGCCCTCCCCTCCGCCTGCTCCTCCTTCCGCGAGCTCCCCCTCCCCTAATCCGATATCCTCTCCCCCTGCCACCCCCTGGCCTTCCCTCCCACCATGCGCACTCCAAACCAGCGACACCACCACCAACCAATCCCGACGCAGTGCCTCCCCAACCATCATGTGCGGCCGAGCCTGCAGGTTCAGGTGCTGGTTCGGCAGCCGAGGCACCCAGTTCGGGTTGAGGATCGGCAAGCCGTTTGGGGGGAGGAGGTGGTGCGCGCAGAGGGTGCGCCAGAGGGGGTCGGGGGAGCGGGGGCGGGGGGAGGCGGCGAATCCGCAGAGAGAGTCCGGGTGGAGCGGGAGGTAGAGCTTCTTCGCAAAGAACAGGTGCGGACGCGCAGCTGCTGACGTGGAATACGCTGACGTGGCGTCCAGGGGGATGGAGAGCGCGGCGAGATCCACTCCGAACAGCCCGGTGCGCACGTGGTGTAGCAACTGGGGGAAGGGAGCAGGCATTCCAGGGAAAGAGGGGGAGAGGAAGAAACAGGGAGGAGAGAAGAGTTAGCGGAGAGGCGACCGTGAGGCGGAATGTCTACTGAGCTGATAGTGATGCAATCATGCTTCCATGAGCGATATGATCTGATTCTACTGGGCGCTAGTATTTCCGTGAATTTAGCTTAGGCTCACCCGTCGATCGCGCAGCAGCAGCGGGTATCGGCACGCAGTGGGCATGAGAGACGACGACACCAGGAACAGCACCGGCAGCAGCCGCGCCAGCTGCCGCTCCTTCGCGCTTCCGCCCACCGCGCGAGCCTTTTCCTCCCACGCGCCTTTTCCCCCGCCGTCGCTCCCCCCTTCCGCCTGCGCCGAGTCCCCCGTTTCCGCCGCCAGCTCAGCTCACCCGTCGGCCTCCTCGTAAGGTAGCAAGTTGACTAAATGCTCGTGAACACTAGTAATGGTTCCCGCAGGGTAAGACATCTCCGCTATAAACTGTTTTTCTGTCCGCGTTTTCCACTCCCCGCCAGCGCCGCCGCCGCAAGCGCTAAACTCGAACACGTGGCTCGCATTGAACACGACGCCCCTCCCGTTGACGAAGACGTCGCAAAAAAGAAGGATCGCGCTGTTACCCGTCTCGTCTGTTACACTGGTGGGAACCTCATCGTCAGTTGGCTCCTCGGAGCCCCCGTTTTCACCCTCCCCTTCGCAGACGTCGCCCACGTGTAGCAACGGCCACGGCCATAGCCACGGCCGCTGGCGACATTGCGTTCGCGAATGCAACTTTTCGTCTTCACGAAACCGCGAGGCGAATGTTGCGAGATCATTCGCGACGGGAAGCGAACCCTCTCTAGCCTGCGCAGGTGCCGACCACTTGCACGCCGAAACTTCGCTCAGGGTCCCCGAACCTGGTTGGAAGGTCGGGCAGATGGACATTGCCGAGCCGGGCGACTCGGTTCGGCGCTGCGGACGCGGCTCGAAAAGCGGGTGAACAAGCAACGATTCGAGGGAGGCGCCTTCTAGGGGAGCTTGCAGCTGCGTCACGGCCTCCGCCCCTTCCCGCCTCTCACGTTGTGCGTCATCGGATACCTCGGGGTTTCCGACTCTGAGGGAGTCTCGCAACGGTCGTCGTGTAGCGCGAAGCGGGGCGGTAAGGATGGACTGTAGTGGATGCGGTCTATTGTCGCCGGTTATGACGGTCTGACCGGCGGACGCTGCGTGCGCGCGATCATGCGAGTTCGGCTCGAATAGAGTAGTCGAGAGGAGCAGAAGCGACAAGGTAAATGAGGCTCTCAAAATGAGGCGGGCTCTTCTTTGCTGATTCATGGCTGCTGGCTGGGTGTTGGCTTTTCGTGCATGAAATGCGGCGAAGGCTGTGTGTCTGATGCTGGAGTAAGAGAAGGGATGATATTCTGCTAAACTCGTACGAATTAGATTTAGACCAATAAAATGACGTAGGGAACGAAACACCGACAACGCGGACTCACGGGGCGCGACGGACTGTCCTAGCACCTGAAAAATGTAGTAAGGGCGTGTCCAGATCGTTCATTTCGGGAAATTTAGTACCTCCTCACGATCCGGGGTTCATAAGGTAACCGGTTCCCTCGTCAACCAAAGCGTTGGAATTTTCGCCAAGCCAACACTTCCACTACTGGTTTTGGCGAGAGTCAGGCGGCACTGGCGATACGATGGGCACTCACTGTAGTGGGCAGGACGCGGTTCTGTACCATTGTTCGATGCGCACGCTGATTCCTGTAACGTGCGTCACACGATTCGAGGTACGTGCAAGTGGTGTGCCGTATCGTGAACGGGAGCTGATCGTGTCTGGCATTTTTGTAAAACCCAGTGTTACAACGCAAAATGTGGTAACTGAAGGGATTTACGAACAGTAAATGAATGAGCTGGACTTCCCCTAAACCCCCCAGCTGAACTTTGCTGAGCTCAATATGGGCAGAAGTGGTTCACGAAAATTTAGTGTGGTGTGGTCGGGGAGTGAATGAACTTGGAATCGAATGTGGTGCAGCCTGGATTTTGCGCCACGCGGTGCGTGAACTGGAATTTCAGCACCATGTGCGCCGCGAGGGTGGAGCTTGCAGTGTGGGTGGGATGGAAAAGAACACCTGATTTCACCTGAAGAAACAGAGCAACCAGCGTAAGTGCCACGTCGAAGCACTTACCAGCTCACATTCAGCCAATAGGCTTTCAAGAGTGGAGGCATGACAGCGTTGAGTTGAGAGTTTGTGGTGGTTGAAGGATAGCACAACACTGTTGCGAGTATGGGGGAACCCGCTCCCACACTCCCCACAATAGCCAACTGGCATCCACTGGTGTATCCTCGGTAAAACCTCCTTTCATAGAAGGCACAATACTAGCATACCAGTATTCGTTTAAACGAAAAAAGTCAATGCTATAGCCGCTGTAGCTGAAAGGGTTGCATTAAAACTATAAATCAAAATCTAACATTTAATCAACAATTTTGAGCATGTGAGAGCATGGTTCTAGGATTCCTAGTCAAATAGTTGATTTTTTCACTTCAGATCCTCATAGCTGGAACGTTGATATCCAAGCAAAACTTGTAGAACTCTTTCAAACGAGGGTTTCGTTCAGCTAAGCTGATTGGGTGGCGAACAAATGTCAGGTTGACAGAGACAGAGTTCAGCTCATGCAGAGATGCGGTAAGTGGCGACAGTGGCGATCAGTGGCGACAAAATGGTGCCCAAGTTCGGCAATCACTGGCGGAAATCCATGGAAGCTATCTGAAAATTGGTAACTTGCCGAGCTGTGGCTACATCACACCGGCGGGAACCCCAGTCCGCGCACGGCGGGCCGGCCGGCCCAGTCCTCGAGTCGTTTCCCTGACAATAGTCAGATCAGAGGCTAGCACGAGGACTACAATCATAGTTAGAGTGCGAGTACCATCTTGAGAGATGGCTATATCTAAAACTTCCCGCCTCTGAGTCCGTCGCGCTTGTAATGCCCAGGGCTATTATAATGGCGGTTACAAGGCTTTTATAATATTCCAATACAAAATAGTAGCTTTAACTAGCCTTAATAGCCTTGGAGATGAAGATATTCTTGATGCCTTTGATGAAAAGCACTTGGAGTAGTAGTGTAGGGAGACTTGTGAGAGAGCCCAAAAGGACTTAGAGAAACAATCCCATTTCCAATTGTTTTGTTGGAGTGGGAGGTTGAGAATGAGCTTGCTTAGCTCAGACCCCCTCAATACACCCCTTGGGGAACTATCCCAACCATGGTTTCCATGGTGGGATGGTTCCTAGGCTTGGAGCCTATGTGGCAATTGTGTTGGGTTGGAAAACCCAACTTAGAACCATTCAATGGTTGTGTTTAGGATAGAGTAGATTGTAACACTTGTTTGGCAGTTTCTGATTGGTTGGAATTCCAACCTTCAACATTCTCTTGGTTGAGTTGGAAATGTTCCAAACCTCCAAAGTTGAGGCTTGGCAAACCCAAACCAAGTTTCATCCCAACCAACTCAACCATCTTCTCCAACTCTTCCTTTGTCGAGAGAAGTTCTCAACAATTGACTTAGAGAGAGATCGATGGTTGTTAGCTCGGTAGTTAGGGTAATACGTTACACTCCTCCCCCCCCAGGTGGCAACGTCCCCGTTGCCCTAGGGTGCTTCTGAGGACGAGTGCTTCGAGCACGGCGCACCACATTACGACCAGGGTCAACCCCGTCCACTGGTTGTGGGCCTGCTCGTAGAGCCAGGTCTTCCATATACGCTTGAATCGCTGCTTCGGTCAAGTGTTCCTCAGGCTCCCAAGAGTTGTGTTCCGGCCCATAGCCTTTCCACTGAATTAGGAACTCACGAACAGTTTTGCGGCCGCGTTGTCGATCACGGTGCGTTAGCACGCGCTCGACTTCGTAAAAGAGTTCCTTCTCGAGAGCGATGGTTGGTGGCGGTAAGTACTTGCCTTCTGCAACGTACTTATTCAACAGAGACACGTGGAAGACGTTGTGAATCTGCAATGTCGCAGGCAATTTGAGCCTATATGCGACCTCACCAACACGCGCAATCACCTCGAAGGGCCCAATCCAACGAGGGAAAAGCTTTCGTGCTCCCGGGATCTTGAGACGAATGTTCTTCGTACTCAGTAATACTTTGTCGCCAACTGCAAAAACGACTTCCCGGCGTTTCATGTCGGCATAGGATTTTTGCCTCTGTTGGGCAAGCTGCAGCCAATGGCGAGCGGACTTCAATGCCGCTTGCTGATTTCCAATAAAGTCCTTTGCGGCAGGGATTTTGAGGTTCTTAATCCCATGCGTCGCGGGGGTTGTGGGGTGCCGACCACAGTTCAGGACAAAGGGTTTCTCATGGGTGCTTTCATGCACAGAATTGTTTACAGCGAATTCCACGACTGGCAACAATTCATCCCAATCGTCCTGAGTTGGGCTTATGAAAGAACGAAGCATTTGCTCAAGAGTGCGGTTGGTCCGCTCTGTCTGTCCATCCGTTTGTGGGTGGAACGCAGACGACATCTTGAGTTTCGTTCCGAGTGTCTTAATGACCTCTTGCCAGAACCGGCTTGTGAAGCGCGGGTCTCGGTCAGACACCATCACACGAGGCAAACCGTGTAAGCGGAAAACGTGTGTCACAAACAACTTTGCCGTATCTTCCGCAGACACGTCAGTCGTCGTGGGCACGAAGTGCACCATTTTGGTCAAGCGATCCACAAACACTAGTATCGCTGTATGACCATCTCGCGTCTTGGGGAGATCGGTGATAAAATCCATCGATACACTCTCCCAAGGTTCATCGGGAATCTCAAGTGGTTGAAGCAGACCACCAGGCTTCTGTGTGCTCGGCTTGTTCCGTGCACACGTGTCACAGCGAGTTACAAACTGCTGGACCTCAATGCCTAATCCCGGCCACCAGTATACATCACTGAGGGCCCACCGGGTTTTCTTGACACCCAGGTGTCCTCCATACTTAGTGGCGTGCACCTCTGCGAGAATATCATTCCGCAGGTTTCCCACATGTGGGACTACAATTTCTTTCTTGTGCCACCAGAGCTCATGCTCCCACAAGAGATTGTTTGTATTCTGTGGGTTCTGAAACCAAGGGTCAATATCATACCCTGCGCGGATGCGTTTCAGAAAACCACCAAAGGCAATCTCGCTCACTCGAGCAGCTGCGAGGATGTTGAAACAAGCAGCAAACACAGCTTCATGTTCCTTATCATCAACACCCGTTGCTGCCCCAATCGGCTGTCTGCTCAGAGGATCAGCCATGTTCGTCGAGCCCGCTCGATATCGAATATCGTAGGTGAACCCACTCAGGAGTTCAGCCCATCGAGCTTGACGGCGGGTGAGTGTGGCTTGAGTGGCAAAATAGGTGTTCGGACAGTGGTCGGTCGTGACCACAAAGTCAACA